CTCACGACACACACACACACACACGTCTCATGAATACACACACACACACGCGTCTCATGAACACACACACACACAGGTGAGAAGATGTTGTGCATTGGCTCGTCGTACGTCCCCGTGGCCGCGGTGGTTGACTATGAGTTGACACTGACATGTCCGTACCGACTGACAGCTGACACGGCCATTGACGCGTTGACACATGCCATCGAGGCGTATGTGAGCAGGAAACACAGTGTGCTGTCGGATAGATACGCACTGAACTCGATGAAGACTGTTAACAAGTAAGCGTGTGTGTGTATTTGTGAGTTGTGAGTGTCTGTCTGGTGTGCTAGAGTGTGTGAGGGTAGAAGATAGAAAGAGGGGGGGGGGGGTTGTGAATCTCAGTCAAAGGTACTAGAGTGTGTGAGTGTCAGACTATAATGCTGGAGTGTGTGAATCTCAGTCCATGGTGCTAGAGTGTATGAGCGTAGGTAGCTAGTAAGGGGGAGTGGGGGGGGGGACATTATATGGTGCTAGAGTGAGTGAGTGTCAGTCCATGGTTTAGTAGGTAGCTAGTATAGGGGGAGGGGTGTGTTCCTTGCGAGTTGCGTACCTCTCCCTCGGACCCGCTCACACAATACTGATCCGGATCCCAATACACACGCCTCTGTAGATACATCCGAGAAGCGTGCAACAATCCTAGCAGTACAACGGCACGTGAGCAGCTGATGATAGCTGCTACAGAGGGAGGGATGGCCTTCTCTATCTCGTCCGTTGCCATGGTCCATGGCATGAGCCGACCTCTAGGCGCCGTATTCCATGTACCACATGGTGAGCGGGAGACTATGGGATAGTGTGTCTGTAAAGGGGTCACTTGTGTGGGTATGGATGTTGACGTATATATATATGTATATGTATATATATATAATGTGATAGTGTGTCGATGATAAAACGGTTATTTAAGTGTGTTCGGGTATGAATGTTAGTTATATATATATGTGTGTGTGTGTGTGTGTGTGTATGGTACGTACTACATACCTGTACGAGAGTGCCTTCTTTTGGCTGAAAAATTTGTTGATGAACGACGTAGCATTGTAATTGAACCAATGCGAACGTCGCAGCAACTCTCACAGACAATGGCACGTTGGAAAAGGTATACGTTCACAATGGTATGAAATGTACTAAGGCTACTTTGGGGTGCAGACATATTAGAACATGTGCATATTAACGCTCACCAGTTTGTTCTACGCAAGTAGTTCTGTGTATGTACCTATGTATCGAATGGTTTTAGTTGCATTATCGTATACGAAGCCTATCCATTCATTATCATCTACTTCACGTGTGTATGGTTCTCTGGACATCATTAGATACACCTATGGGAATGCATGTGTGTGCGTGGTACGTATTTGCACACACGGCTCGCCATTCTCAACGCATCGCATTGGCCTTTAGATACAGTTACGTCTACGTATGAATACGATAGTACCAAATACTCTTGATATAATTCATAAGAGAAAACAATGAGACTCGATTTCCGTCGCAAGTTCTAGCCTGTCGTTGCACACTTATTGGTGGATTGGTAAGTAGGTTCAGCTCTACACACACAATTGACAGTACAGATACACATGCATGCGTGTGCACTCACACACGCTTGTACCTGCCTATGTACCCCGCCCCATCTCCTCGCTTCTACCATTCAACCAAGTAGTGTGCACGGCCATTGACTGTTAACTGTTAGTAAGCGCATTAACAATTGAACATACACCTAAGCAAGCAATCAGCACGTCTCACTTATACCATTTAACCTGTTGCAACTATATTTGTGTGTTCTCAGGTCTCAGCAATGCGATGCTGCTGCCAGACGTCACCCGGTATGTTATTGACGCGGACTGCTACTTGTCCGTACAACGTACCAGTGTTCTTGTGTTGGCAATACAACGTTGCACTGTTCTTATGTGGGTTCAGGTAGAGATCGAGTCGAGATGGGTGTCCAGTAAATTAACCCCCGTGAGTGATCTGTATGATGCGTAGTCCATCGGCTCAACGGTTCCATTTGATGTGTGTCTGGCCTAGAGGCCCTCTAGACTATACTACTATGAGCTAAGTATGTTGCCAAGACCCTGTGTCGTGTGATCATCGATTCACAACTGTCGCGTAAACACTTGCTACAACAGTTGCGGTGGATGTTTGATTATAACATACATCGCATCATAAATAGCCGTACTCTATTAATGTGTATATGACATATGTAGACTTAAATAGTCTACGCAGTGTTCTTTACTACTGTCGAGTATAGACTTGCTACAACAGTTGCGTGGGACGTTTGATTATAACATACATCGCATCATAAATAGCCGTACTCTATTAATATGTATATGACATATGTAGACTTAAATAGTCTACGCAGTGTTCTTTATTACTGTCCATTAAACACATTACTACAGCAGTTGTGGCTGGCGTTTGAAAGCTACCACCCATCGCATTGTACGTTTAATACCGCTCCTTGTGGCCAGTAAATGGTTGCATGTCAGTGGTCGTCTATTTCACCTGGAGTTCGATTCGTTGATGTGATGTGCTTTTAGTAGCAGAGCGTGCGCACAATACTCCATCAATAGAATTAAGATAATGGGTCATACTGCGCGAAACATAAAGACTGCTGCTTTCTAAAGCACTAATCATGTAGGTATATAAACCCCTTATATACTATTCATGTACATATAAACCCCTTATACACTATTCATGTATGTATATAAACCCCTTATACACTATTCATGTATGTATATAAACCCCTTATACACTATTCATGTATGTATATAGACCCCATATACCACTACCAGCTTTGGCATAGAGACCAATCCTGAGCGGTACGCGCAGTGTGCTGCCGCTATGGGCTTTGCCTCAGACAGCGCATCAGTTGACAACGCAGCCGCTGCCCTACTGGAAGGTTTAGAGCAGATGTGCCATGACCTTAAGGTATTATAATGGCTGTGCGTATATAAGAGTATCATATATATATATATATATATATATATATATATATATATATATATATATATATAAATATACATATACATATACATATACATGTATATGTATATGTATGTATGTATGTATGTATATATGTGTGTGTGTGTGTATATATATATATGTGTGTGTGTGTGTGTGTGTGTGTCTTTAAGCAAATATGTAGATATGTATGCACGTGTACATGTATGATGTATTCATGTGTGTATAATATGTGTATGTATGTATATATCTCTGTGTGTGTGAGAGTGTGGTTTGTACACATGGAAGATACATTTAAATTGAAAAACTATTTATCTCGCGTACTTCCACTTGAACGATGCATATGCATATCGCCTGACCATTGCTTCCACATGTATATGTTCAGTGTGCTCTTTGTAATCCGTTGCACGATAAATATTGTAGTCGGCTGGTGCAATGTTCTTTCAATGAGTAAGGAATATGTGACGTAACTCTTGGAAGTGTCCCAGGTCTTGTTGACAATAAATCCGGAATTCGACTCGTCGTTTTCAGGGTCACTCTCTTTCAATATGTGGGACTTAAACCGTTAATCGTGTGTGCTGTTGCCTTATCCCTTCCCCATGCGTACGCTTGTTGTATCGTTTCAGTGTGTAGTGTGTTGTCATCCTAGACACGCCCTCGTGAACGTTTACATACGAGAATAGCGTGATTTGCTCCGTTGTCATAGATTTTGTATTTACGATACACTCGCAGAAAAACCACTTTCGCACCAGCAAGCACCGTCAACCGTCCAGGGCCTGTATGTACCCATACAATATTATTGAACACCTACGTGCAGGTTCCGTCGCTGAGCCAGTTCGGTGTGAAAGAGTCTCAATACCGTGCTGCGATTGACCGGATGGTCAGCGAGGCGCAAGCTTCGGGATCGCCTGGGAACAACCCGCGCGTACCCACTGACGCGGAGATGGCACGTGTCTACAACGTCGTCTATAGATAGCTTTGTCTTGAATTTGTTAAGCCTTTTAGCTTTGCTGTATAATGAGCGAAATAAATGAACAGCTTCATCAATAGGGGTTGCGTGGTGATTTATTGGAGAACTCTCTTGTGGAAGCTTCTGCGAGCAGTATGTATGAAAATAAGACTTGAACAACATGCATAGTCACAATAGCTACCCTGGGTATACAAAATAAAACTTTAAACAACTATGTTCGACTTACATCCTGAGATATCGAGCAGAAAAGTAAGCGATGAGAACTGAGAGGGCGACAGGACGACTCAATCTCTATCTAATAGTAGTGACGAAGTATGGTATATCGACGGATTCAAATATTGTCCCAATCGATTGTGATGTTGCAATGCGTCGGATGCGAAAGATAGCCTGGCTTCTGCGGACAGTGTGAATACAAAAACACTAGAACGATTTACAAAGTCTCACTAGCACCCCTGAGTATACAAAAGAACTTCGTAGACGGTGTTATTAAGCACTCAGTCTTCCCAACGACCGAGACAAAACACATTTGACGTGTCAACAAACTCAACATTTGGGACCATGTGCGAATGCCCAAACAAGCATATCTCGATGGGAAAGATGATAATCCCAAATAAAGCGCAAGCAGCTTGGGAGATCGAGAAAAGCTTTGATAGGCAAGTAAAACAGCTTTTGCGAATTTACCTCAATCCAATGAAGCATCTTGCTTTGACAACCACCGAAACCATATATGATCATGTGTGCGATAGAAGCAGGCGAGAGTACCACGCTGCTGTGTGCTTGGGAGGAGGCAACTGATGAATTAATGCGTAAACTAATGGTGAAATATCGAGACACCATTCTATTCCCTGTAGTGGTCTTCATCGAAGCAGCTCTTATGTTTCAACTTACTGTTGATTGGCGCCACGTCAAACACAAACGTGCGCTGGCAGCAAAAGGACTGTATGAAACCATCACCTCATTTTCAAAATCGATTCAACCGCTCATACCTATGATGAGGGCGGCAGGATGGAACTGGGAAGAGCAAGAAGCATTCATAACCAACGAATTGCCTTGTGTGATGGGCGGGACACAATTCGCTAACAAATCCGAATGATCTTTTGGAGAAAGCCAGCAAAATTCAGAACTTTTGTATCGAGTACGCTTTCTTGTTGAAACGGTACGTTTCCGAACTAAAACAACCAAACAGTATATGAGAAGACTTAACTGAGCAAAGTGAACGTAAATTTTATTGCTCTCGTCATGGAAGTAATGTGTCGCACGATACTGAACAATGTCGAGCGTTGAAGCGCAAAGGAGAGAAAGGACAGACGACTGAAAATCAGGCACAGTACTACTGCGATCAACACAGAAACAACAAGTCTTACAACTCAGCGGAATGCAGAACGAAAAGACAACGAGGAAATGGCGCGACCAGGCCGAAGGTCTTGCACAATAGAAGGTCTGATGAATGCTCACGTTGTATAGGCACCCGTCGTAGATCGTAATGTACAGAAGATGATATGATTGGCAAGCTTCTTTCTAACGCTCTAGAAAGGTTCGGGACGACGTATCGTGCCAGTCCTGCGCCATTGTGGCAACAGGTACTTCTTGAACGATTGTCTAGTCACGAAAGAAATAATCGCGGTGAATGAATCTTGCTCGGAGCGCCAGACAAACTTAGTCAACGTCACTGAATCGGGCACTAATAAATCCACTCAGGTGATCACAGCCAAAAACAATATAGCCAGTTTCATAAGGAACATAGTAACGGAAAGTCGACCAAAGACGGATCACCGACGGTCACCTTCATATTATGAAACGAAATGAGGGAAAGATACATCAGAAACATTCGTTAAGGCTATGACAGCACATTAAAGTATGTCCGGGGAACGGTCAAACTTTTTGCTAGATGAAGGAGCACAAGTATCAGTTATACAGAATGGTGCTGTGGAGACACTGCGGAAATATCAGCCTGCTGCGATTGTTAGCATATACCCCTTATCAACCTCTTCAATGGTGTAGGTGGACAACAATTGTCATCATACAAAATAACAATCAGAATCACTGTACAAGGCATCGTATTCAAATACACGATTATCGCTCTGCGGGCAATCCCTACCAATATATAAACATGTTCGTTGGGATGCCGTTCTGCGACCACTATGTATCGAAGGATGACAACACAGCAATTACTGTTACAATGAATGAAGATGAGAAGCCCCGGCTACTTCCCTACAAATACGAACACCCGAAAACCCTATCAGATGAGCAACGACGAAAGGTTGAGAGATTACTGATCAATCACACTACCTTGTTTGATTATGAACCGGCCGATCACAAATTAATACGCACTAAACCGATTCAGTTGAATATCAGGCATGAAGATCCCATCTATATCAAGCAATACCCCCTTTCCAGAACGCAGCAAAAAGGTCATATCAAGCATTATCCCCTTCCCAGAATGCAGCAAAAGAAAAAAGGGGTCATATCAAGCAATACACCCTTTCCAGAACGCAGCAAAAGTCTGTGAGGAACTGGCGGAAAATCTAACGAGGAAAAGACTGCAAAAATATTCCAATTCAGTATGCAATTCCCCTTGTTTGATCTTACCCAAGAAGAATGTAAATAGAGGCTAGACACGTATCTTGATCGTTATAGAAGCCTACTTTGAGACGTTTGCAGGGTGTGAATACTTGGGACGTAAAAAAAAAGATGATCGTGCATCTTAGTGAATGAAGCAAGTGGCAAGTTCCTAGCTTTTTCGACAGCACAAGCAAAATGTGAAAATAAAATCCTACCCTGTTGAAGACACGTAAGGCTACTTTCTGTCGAGAGATTGCCCATTTGTTCACGGATATACTTAGGACGATACAGTTTGTGGATGCGACTTCCTCTCGGAAATTGTCCGTACTTTATAATATCTACAGTGTCAAGTTGTCTGCCTACCACCCACAAGCGAGTAAACGGATAGTGCGGATTCACAAGGACTATAATATACTGTTTCCATAATATAAATTCGAATCGTAGATTCAGGGCTGCTATTTGACTAAGTTCAACACGCCTACTGCACGCAGACACATGTCATATCAGGCTGCTCACAATGCCTACTAGTATATGGTCGTGAACCGATCCAATTTGCCAGAGTCCTTGGTAAGAGCCTTAATATCCTCGATCACACAGGACGTACCTCTAGCTGTTCTTTATTGAATAATTTTCACTAGAAGTACTAAGTGTTCATGACCACATGTCTAATTAATAGAGGCTATACTACGCAATCCCAATAAGGGGCCTGGCCCCGACGGAATCCACATCCTCTTCCTGAAGGCCGCAGTGGAGCGCTCCACCGAACGCAGGACACTTGGACGCCCCGACGCCAATAGCCTCCTGGTTAGACTCCTTGCCGAAGCATTCGCTGAGCTACTGAAGGCGGGTGCCTTCCCTGTAGCCCTGAACTGCAGCCTCCTGACAGCGCACCCAAAAAAAGCCGATGCAGATATCACCTCCTCCGTCGACTTCCGCCCTATTACGCTTACGCAAATAGTCAGACAAATTTTTGAGAAGTGCTTCCTTAAGCTGATTACGAGTCACTCCGGCTCTGTAAACTTCGATGGATATTTCTATGTCTTAAACTATGTTATATAACCTAAGATACAATTTAAGTCAGTTAGGATTTAGCAGTGGTAGCTTGTGTAAGAATGAACGGGACTGCCTCTTGGTAAGAGGATCAATTTCTACCCCTGCCGCAGATACCTTGTAAACAAGCGTGTGTATAGTATCTTTAGCAAAAGAAAACTTGTCCTCGTTAATCTTAAGTTTGGCATGGTTTAGTCGCTTTAAGACTTCCTTAATGAGTTTAGCATGTTCATGTGCTGTCTTTGTAAAGATAACTATATCATCTAAATATACTGATACTTTACCAGACAGGTCCGCAAATTGTTCCATCATAACTTATTGGAAGAAAGAAGGTAACATGTGTAAGCCTTCGGGTGCACCTTTAAACTGGTACTTCTTATCTTGCCAAGTAAATGAAAAGTATTTCCTATGTGGCTCATATATTTGTAATTGATGGAATGCAGCTTTTAAGTCTACCGTGGAAAAGATAGTCGCACCTTCCATTTTGCGTAGTATCTCGCTTATCTTTGGTAAGTGAAAACTATGTTGCGGAATTAGTTTGTTGATTGGCGACAGGCCTAGTACTACTCTTATTTTACTAAACGTTCCATCAGATTTATATTGATCGACCGCTAAGAGAGCTAAGTTAACTGGGGTTGCATCATAATTGATTTCAAATAGACCCTACTTTAACCAATCGTCAATTTGGGTTTTGACAACGTCTTTGTGTCTCCAACTCACGTAGTTTTGTGAAGGACACTTTAACTTAGAGAAGTCGACGTTTGTTAAGTCAAGCTTAACGTACCCGTTAGAGAACTTAAACATACACCAGTCAGTTATTGCAATCTTCCTGTTTTGTATAATTAAGTCCATAATTATATCGGTAAAGTGCGGAATCATATCCTTTGCTTCACCTTCCGGAGGTTTAGATATCTTTAACATATTATCATCTGACTGATCTCTATTTGGGTCTAACCCATTTGGCAGACCAGTGAGAGTTATACCTAAACTGAGAAGATCAGTCATACCTATAATTAAGTCATATTTCTGAGACATGTCAATAACGATTAGAGTCTTTACTTTTCTTCTATCTGACAACATTATGTGTGCATAGTCAATGGCTTCTTCGCAAGTGGTAACTATGCCATTTCCCAAGATTAAATTAGTTGTTTCGTTATGGATAGCCATATCTGTAGCGTAGGCTACTCGGCGTGAGATAGCAGAGACTTCAGCCCCTGGATCAAAAAGTGCTATAACTTTTTCTCCATTTACATAAACGGTTTGAAATATACGTTCATCTCCTTTGGTGTAGATTTTATTGAACTTTATCTCATAACTTTGCTCTAGTGCACACATATGGAACTGTAAGTGCTTAACTTGAACGTCCAGTTTGTCCTTGCAATCATTTTTGTGCCAACCGTTAGTACCCTTGCAAGTAGTATACTCTTTCATATAGTGTCCAAAGTTTGGCTTGCCTGGTGCACATTTAACAGTATCGTGTTTACCATTC